ACTTATTCGTTTATTTCTTTATTTATTAAGTTTAGTTATGTATTTACTTATTCATTTATTTATTTAATTATTCGATGTTTAGTGTTATAAACCCCAACGGAATGCTGTGCTAACCACGAGTGCAAGTTTATTTATATCTTTATTTATGACTAAGTTGCCCCCTCTCCCCCAATTGCATTTTCATTCAAGTGAAGAGAAGCTTTTGTTCACATACCTGATAATATAGGCGGAAAGCCATGACGCTAGCAATCAATCGGTTTCTTTGGCGACTTTTTTTGGCACAGCTGTCATGTCGGCACTTCAGCATACTAATTCGTTACTGAAATTCCTCTCAGGAAACCTCTTGCAGGCACATTACATACATATGATTGTTTTTTATGTGTGATTCTACATTTATTTATTTATTTATTTATTTACTATTGCACTCAAGGTGCGCCTAAGACAATCAGCGTGCGTATAAATACAAAGTTGACTGCTAGAAAAACTCAACTTGTGACTTCAATTCATGGGATTGTTTACATGTGGTTGTTTATTCTCCTATTTTCTTCCCTTCTATTGTATTATTTATCTGCTATTATTCTTATCGATTCTTTTTATGAATTGTTTGTTTTGTCTGTTTTTTGTTATTGTTTTCCATTTTTAGCTTTGCCCTCTGAATGAACAGATCTACACTTTTGAGATATGTACATATGTTTTAATTGAATCAGGGTAATCCGTACTTGCTCCTAATTCAAGTGATATGATTTCGGAATGAATTCAAGAACGCAGCGGCTCTCTTCATTCTCACCTATCAAAAATTGTCGTGGGTGAAGAACCCGATCGTGACAGGGCATTGATACTGTAATGAGTCACCAAGTAGTGATTATACTGCGCAATAGCGGTATTTATCTCGATTCGGCTCTTCTCTGATCATATGGTTTGAGCAATCACCACTTGATCAGGACTCGTCTTAGAGGAGTTGGAGAATGAGTGCCGGATTTGAAGGTACCGCCGGAACGTTCTCGTGCCGGGAAATGTGAAGCTGGTGAACTCGGTTCAATGAGAGAGATATATAGAAAAGTTGATAAGGTCTTTTTGCGCTACAATTGGTGGGGTCTCTTCGGGAAACTTGACCGTGCTATACCTACGCTAAACCTAACGCTATGATACGTCGTGGTATTAAGGTCTCTTTTCAGTGGAAAGGTGCGAACCACTAAACTTTCGGTGATAGTGATGCTTAAAAAATTGCCTCAGCGGCTAGCGTAGCCCTTCGACTGAACCAATGCAATGCTTCAAATATTCTATAGATTATGTCTTGCTGAGGTCTTCCCTTTTGTTGACGGTACCTAAAAAGCGTAGGTTCTATCTGGTAGAATAAATATGAGGCGCTAAATGGATTGTGCTCAGTTTTTGGATGCGCCACGCATCCGTCTTCCATTCAAAGCCGTGCACTAAAAATTCTTTTGTATGTCCCAGCCGCTCCAGCATAACCCTTGTCGTCGAAAGCATTCTTTACAGGCGACTAGCTGAGCCGGGGTTTTCAACTGGTATTTTGGGCAAATTTTCCTCCCTTTAAATAGTAGGTATAATGATGCTGCGGCTGACATCCACACAGATGAAGCCAAGACATTCCTGGAAGCCACTGGCAAGGCAGGAACAAGAATCCGTGTTCGCAGGAACGAT